AGCTAAAAGATCAACAATATGCTACAAACAACATGACAAAGGCTGACATGCATAAAAGGGCTTGGACCCCGGTCATAACTGCTTTGCAGTTCTAGTTTACATTACTTGCATTCCGTCTCCGCTCCGACCTCCGCAGCAAATACACACCTATTATAATCAATAAGAGCGTTTACACTGGCTGCGCTGGGCAGTGGTGAGCGGACGGCCATCCGTCAAAATTAGAACAGATCCTATTTTTGCCGGACACCCGAGCAGCGCCGGAGTCAATTTTTAAAGATTACGTCACACCAACAGGAAAAGACAGGAGCACAAAATCTGTATTTTCAAAATAAGACACTATTCGGCGGAATAATTTGTCGGAATAATGTCGAAATTGCAGCTATATTAATAAATATACAGATATATTTCTTCACAAATGCTGTCAGAATGTATCGTTCTGTTTGGGAAGCAGATGGAAACATGTAGCATGAAACATGAAGCATATGTGCACACACACGATACACGTGGATTTTATTTTGAAATCAGAAGTTTCAGAAAGCCGACAGCAGGACAGTTTCAACATAGATACCAAAAGCCTTTGTGTCGTTGTTTTCAGCTGTGTTTGGAGTTCGTCTTTCACAGAATTAATTATTTTTTGCTGTGACTTCCACATTTATCCCTGAATTTATCGCGCGATCTGCTTCCTGCACGTCTGTCGGACCGGAGCGGAGGTGGTGTAAACTGGACTTGAAACGCACAGCTGCGACCTGCGCAGCGGAGACACATGCAGTATAAATCCGGGGTGAGAGGTCAAATTTGAGAAAATAAAAAAGGGACCAGCGGACTGTTGGCTGCAGTGCAGAGGATCATGGAAGTGAGGACGGGGAGAGGTGGGGAACTTATTTCTAGTGGCTGAGCAGCAGGTTGGAAGATGATTATTTAACTTTATTGGTTTTTTTTTTTTTTTACGTCATTAAGTCTCTGAGACGTAAAAAATAAATTTGAAGCTGAGGTTTTGAGAAAACCTTGAGATTGAAAAAAAATCTCTGAGACTGCCTTATACATCTGTATACTTGCAAAATGAAGAAAAATCTGTAATTTACCTTAATTTAGCTACCCTCAAAGTGCAGAGAGTGACGTTCAGACATCAAATATATTTTAGCTCCAAATATTCTCTTTAAAACTGAAAGTGAAGGATCTTTTTAGTCTGTCACACATTAAACACTGTAGAAACAATAAAAGTCACTTGTGTGCCCATCAGAGCCTTTTGTCTTTTATGGTTCAAGAATTTTAATGATCTAGCTTACAGTTCTTATGCAGTGACTGTGTGAGGCTGACTTTTTAAAGCTTTTTTTCTCGTTCTCTCTGCCTCAGGGTCGTCTGTGTCTTCTGGCAATGCAGTCTGTGTTTGAAGAGTCTCTGCCTCGACCCAGTGTTGATGTCATCCGAGGCAAAATGATGCCCAGTTGCTGGATCCTGCAGCCAGTTCAGCGTCGTGGACAGGAGCTCACCAGAGTCATTTACCTGCTGCAGGTAAGATACTTTTTACATTTATGGGCCCATATGCATTCATATGCCAGTTAAACTCAGCAATCTTTTCTTAACTAAATTTACAAATTCAAACTAACAATCTGCAAGTTTCTGATACAGTTGTGGTCAAAAGTTTACATACACTTGTAAAGAAACATAATGTTATGGCTGTCTTGAGTTTTCAATAAGTTCTACAAC